CAATAAGGGGCTGTGAATCTATTAAGTTAACCAATAGGGTTACAGTACCTCTGTTGCCTATAGATTTTGGGTATGCCAGAGGTACCAACAATCCTCTTGGATACATAAAGGTACGTTGCAGTCTAAGCAGCCCTTTCTCGTATATTTACGTCGCTGCGTGATGCTATTCCCAGACATCTCGCCTAGGGTCTGGCGGGCTCTTACTGCCCTTAGATTACTACAATAAGAGCAAGGCGAATTAACCTTCCTTGATCCCTTTGTATGGTGTTCCCATGGGATTGAGGTATTCCTTTTATCTATAGCCCGTTTCGGCCGTGACCTCTGCCGTCCTTTTGCTAATGGTCCAAACTGTTGAATAAGCTGGGATGCAAGCAGCTGCCGCCAGTGGTAGTGGGTTTTCACCTTCTGCCACCTAGGACTGCCCCAGAGCTGTAGCAGGAAGCTATTCACAACTACCACTTCCAGCAGGAAATTCCAGGCAATTAACTGCCAGCCCCCTCGCCGAATAGGATGGCTGTATTGATAATAGGACCTCATCTGGTCACTCACATCAACCCCATTCATCTTGTGGTTGTATTCATCGATTGCCCTAGGGACTGGAAGGTCCTTGCGGACGTCTGGGCCAAACACTTGCCGGGCAGCCCTCTTGGCAGCAGAATCCCCAGCTGGGCGGCGGCGGCTGCGGATAACTTCCTGGCCGTTCCGGAAGACAGTTGACAGGAAGAGTGCTAGGGCATTATCCTTCCAGGCGAATTGGTTGACCTATTCATCAGTTAGTTAAGTAGGCAAGCAAGTAGGTAGGAGGGCATTAGGTTGCTCACCTCCCCATCTAAAGTAGGGATGCAGTGTATTTCGCCCCAGGGGATACCCCGTCCTTCTGTCTCTTTCTCAACAACTAGGATCTCATCTATCCCACTATCTTTCCGGCAGGTACCAGAAGCTCCAACCTGTTGCTTCCGTAGGGTACGAAAGAGCCGTGTAGAGGCGAAGAGGTTGTCAAGAAAGACGTGGTAGGTTGCAGCTGGAAGTAGGGAGATAAGGGTAGTTACTACCTGCTGCGTTGGTGTCAACAGAGCCAGCTTTCCACCAGCTGGCTCAGCTGGCCCAGCCGGCCCAGCCGACCGGGCTGTCCGGACTGTCCGGGCGGGCTGGCCTGGCTGGGCCTGGGGGACTAATGCGTATGGGCCCTTTCCATGTACGTGCCACAGCCACCGTATACAGTAGCCAGACTGGGCAAGGATCCAGATCTTATAACTAGTTGGGATAGGTTTCGTTGGAATCGTTGTTGTCTCTACAGATCGACCTGTAAATCGAACCATAGCCTCATCAACTGTAAGATCTGAACCAGTTGTATAGAGGGAATTCCCAGTCTCTTGGATGTGGGCTGACCACTGGTTGACCTTCCGGTATACATCCGGCATTTGATCTGGGGCCCGGCCCCGGCCCCGACCCTGGCCCTGGCTGGGCTGGCCGGGCTGGAATTCAGCAGTGTCGAATATCCGCAGTCGCTGGAGTAGTAGTTGGAAACGGTCCCGGGATATAAACCGCGTGAATAGGTGGATAGGATCCTCCTTTTGCTGCTGGGTTGACCAGTAGGTTGATAATCTAGATTCCCTATGGATCCCTATATATAATAGGATCCCTAAGAAGAGGTAGATCTCATCTACTGAAGTCTTCCTCCATTTATATACTCTAGACGTTCTAGCACGCGGGCCCTCCTTCGACAACGGCGCCGCATTCGTCCACTGGGCCCACTGCTCCACGAGGCCCTGCGGAACGTATTGCATGAACAGGTCAAGCGGGCTTGCCGGCAGCCCCCGCACCTCTTGGGCCCGGGCCGGCACGTCAAAGGGTCGGAAGGAGCCCGGATGACCATGCTCGGTAGCCGGAGGTTCGTGGGGCCGAACAGTTGCTGCGTCACAGCGCTCGGGCGTACAGTCTGTATTACAGGCAGCGGTAAGGTCTTCTGGAAGGATCTCAACTACTATACAACTACGTGTAGAAGTAATAGAATCATCAGAAGTAATAGAGGTATCAGAATCACTAGAAGGCATTTTAGCATCAATCAAAATGGTAATTAGAGTGGTGATAATAGGTAAAAGAGCATAGGGGTACATGACGTATCGTTAAGTACCCCTTTGAATGCGGGGTAATATTGGGTAAATAGTGGGTACTTGGAGGTCTTGGCAAAAATTGGCGTCAAGCAGCACCCGATGGGATAGGAGGGAGACTATTACTACCAATTTGATTGATGCTGTAATGTCTTCTAGAATTTTGGTTTCTACTGTACTGCACTCGGCAACAATCCATACTCTCTCTAGACCCATCGGTCTCCTGTTCGATAGAGAAGAGACGTTGAAGGTCGGCAATCTACGAAAGTTGGTGTCTTAGACTCCCATCATGGCGGATCCAACGGAGGCGGATATTGTAGCGGAGCCGGACCCCCCTTTTTCGACGCCAAAACACCCGATCCGAGCAACGAAGGCGACCGTCAAAACCCGTGTCACGACTCGACAAACGGAAGACACTACGCAGGAGCTGAAGAGAATTACCCGAGCTGTGACGCGAGCAGCACCAAGCGAAACAACGAACGAAAAGGCAGGCGTTACAACACGCAATGGAAAGGGAGTGGCGTTGCCGGCGGCGGACTGGCGATGCTCCAGAAGGCGTTGGAATTGCTGGACGAATCCCTCAAAGAGTCCCAATGGCTGAAGGAGGCGCTGAAGCAGCAATTGGAGGTAATGCAGAGACAGGAGGGCAGGATACAGAAGCAAGAAGAGATGATACGCGACCTGAACTCGAAGCTGGACGACACTACGGAGCAGATGAACGAAGAACTAAAGCAATCCCACGAAGAACTAAAGCTGGTCCGCGAGCAACTCGAAACGATCGCGACAAACGCCGCGCAATCCCCGCCCATGTCGTACGCCGACGTTGCGCGATCAGCCCCATCATCCCAACCGACTAACCTTCGAACTCTTTCGTCTTTTAACACGACGCCGTCCAACCTCTCCGAAACGCTGTACTGCACAATCGATACGTCCCATGCTGGAAGCGAAGCCGCCGAGCAGGTGTCGGTCGGCTCAATCCGAACGATGGTAGAGAGCCAGATCCGTGCGGGAGAAGGTGACAACGCGTCTTGGCGGTGCCGAGCAGTGACGAAGGACCCTAGGAACCCCCATCGAATTAGGATTGCTTGCAGAAACGACGACGAACACGCGATGGTGAAGCGAGTGGTGGAAGCGAATCTGGCGCGAGATGCCCATATTCTTCGAGACGATGTTTACCCAATCAGAGTGGATAGTGTCAACCGCACAGCTGTGCTGAACGACGATGGAGACGTCCGCGCCGGAGCAACGGACGCTTTTGGCGTGTAGAACGACGCCTCGGTTGCGAAGATAGCATGGCTTAGCGACAGAAGTGTTGCGAAGGCGTATGGCTCGATGGTGGTGTATCTCGCCAAAGCGACGGATGCACGTCGGCTGCTCAGCGAAGGCTTCTTTCACGCGGGAGGAGAGTCTGGCTACACCAGGCCTTTCGAGCGGAGAGAACGGCCGAAGCAGTGCTACAACTGCCAAGAGATCACTGACCACAAGGCCTACCAATGCAGCAAGCCCAAGATATGTGCAAGATGTGCTGCAGAGGGGCACAGTCACCACGAATGCAGTGCGACGGTCCTGAAGTGCGTTCCGTGCGGAGGGCCGCACGAGTCGTTCAGCCGAAACTGCAGGAGACTCTTCCCCGCTCGACATGAGTAAAAGGTTCCTAATGATGCAACTCAACATGATGAAACGGGGCGAGGTACACGAGAGCTTGATGAACGACGAGGCAGTTCGGGATGTAACGGTGTTGGCCATCCAGGAGCCGCAGGCGAGGGTCGTCCAAGGCCGCCTCCTTACAACCCCGATGGGGCACCAGGGGTGGACGAAAATGGTCCCGTCGCTGTGCAGAGATGAGGAGCTGGATGAACTGGAGAAGTACTTTGCCCTCCAAAGGCAGGCTAATTGTAATCCTGTTGAGTGGTGGTTTGCCCATAAAGAGGAATATCCTCGCCTGAGTAGGCTGGCGTTGATGATCTTGGCGATACCCTCACAGTCATCTGACTGTGAGAGGGCATTCAGTGCTGCATCTCTTGCCCAGACCTCGCAGAGGCTGGGGATGAAGGTAGAAAGGCTGGAAATGTTACAATGTATGAGGCAGTGGCAGAAGAGGGGTGCAATTTCACTGCTGGATAGGTCTGAATAGCTTCACTTGGCAACAACTTGCAAGTAATTGGCAATCAAGCAAGTATGGCATCGCGATGTGGCAATCAAGTCAAGTTTGAGGCTCAAACTTGACTTGATTGCCTTGCGGGGGGCGCTGAGCCAAAGTACTAGTCTTACACCGGTTCGACGTGGACCCAACGCGACTAGGTCGATCCTCAGGAAGGTCAACCGTCCAAGCGTACTCGCCGCCGGAGGGTCTCGACTCGGCGAAGCAGCCGTACAACATCTTCTTGAAGACTCTCGAGGAGCGGGATAACGCTTTGGAGCAGACAAGATACGTTCTTGTGAATGGCCCGACATCCGCGCCGACATGTAGGTATAGGTCCCCATCATGGTCGGTAGATATGATTTCTCCGCAGTTTTCCGACGCTGGATCATTGTCGTTGTGTGCATCCGTCTTCGACATAGTTAATCTTGCTGAAGGGTATTGGAAGGGGCGGTGACTCCGGAGTTTCTCGTGGATGCAGTAAATGATAGGGGAAAAGTCGCTTGTAGTAGAAGAGAGAGGGGCTTGAAGCAACATCACCACACGGACGGACGTGTCTCGGCTTTATAGAACAGCGACAAGGTGCGCGTCTCTTACTTGAAATAACTTCTCGGGTGAAGCCATTGCTAACCTGGACTGTAAGAGGCCATAGCCTAGGTTGAACGAGGGCGGGACAGGCAAAATGATTATTTAGAACATTCTTGCGATTCTTGCGGATCTCCATCGCCCCTTAATCAAAGAAGCTTACATTATATGCAATTAGTGCGCAGGCTGTGACATAGTTCTCCGAATACCATCTTCATCATCCCAATGTCCTCGGAAAATGCCCCGCTGACCGGACCTCGATCGCTTGATTTCTGTGCCGACTTGCTGGAATCTTTCGCCTCTGGCTTCCATCCTCGCTTGTTCGGCACCAGCTGAGCCAACGGACGACGGGGTGGCTCCAGCAGCAGCGCTCTTTCAAAGTCGATCATCATAACCCCGTTAATCTCCGCATTGAACAGCATGTTTGCCGTCCGTACATCCTTGTGGACTACGCCCTGTTGATGTATTGCGCGCAACGACCGCATCGCCTTCCCTTCGAGCTGTTCACCCCCGCCACCCACAATTCCTGTCGAATCAAGGTCATATCCTCCCCACGACAGAAATGTCATGTGTACCACATACACTCGGTGGTCATAGTAATAAATCCTGTCCATCAATCGGAGGTCGATGGTCCCGAGGAACACGGGCACGTGAGTACCTTGGACCGGCTGCAGACGTTTGTAAACCGCCGCCTCGTGCTCAAGGTCTTTGGCAAATGCCCGAACCGTGCCCTTGCTAACGAAGGTATAGCCATACGCAAGCAGGCTCACCTTGAACAGTACGCCGCGCGCACCACCCTGCCCCAACGGCGTGATCCCGTCGTCTAGTGTCCGTTCTAGCTGTTCCCAGAGAAGCTCAAGGAATTGAGCGTGATCGATTGGATGACGGACACAGCTGCGGCTTGGGCCACGGCAGTGACTGCGGTGATTCTCGGGCTGCCTGTTGTGAAGTGCCATGTTCGGGCATCTTGCGTCGAGAACCCGGCCGTTGACGAGCCCTAACAGGCACTTTTGGGTGCAGTAGGGCCTGTCTTGCTCGTTGCTTCCTCCCCCTCCTCCGCCCCCGCCCCGCGGCCGCCGCGCTAGAATCCGCTTACTGCGTCGAGTTCCCTGACCTCCCCGGCCTTCTTGACGTACCCGCCGTTCTGTCGGGCTCGGCGTGTCTGGCAGGTCCCGTGCTGCCTCGTCGTCAGATGATTCTCCTGGCTCCCTTTGGTCATGTTCCCTCACGGGCTCATCTCCCACACGTCGCCGTCTCTTTCCTCGGAGAAGGCACGGAGATCGGTCGACACCCTCGTACGCTTCAGGCTGGTAGCCGGGTGAACTATCCGGCGCCTGTCGTTCGTCCTCCGGAATCGATCGTAGCGTCGTCTCGAAATCTTCCATCCACGTCTTCAATTTTTCCGTAGCTTGGCGGCGCTCGTCTTGCCCACGCAACCGCCGTTCACCCGGCAGACCCAGCGCCATGAGACTAAAGGCCAGATACTGCCCCACTGCCGTGCACAAGTGAAGATGATTTGGATGGGCCAACACTTCGGCACCAGGCTCTGCTAGGTGATAGAAAAGCGTCTCAGGCTCCCGCCAGTCGACCTTGAGAAACACGATCGCCTCGCCCGTCGTCAATAGACCGTACTCGAGCCCCCCCTCGATCATGTAGTGGTAGGTCTGCGTGATGGCGGCTGCAGTCAGCCTCTCCGCGTGATACTGGAAACGTGCCTCTGGGTCCACCGACGTCGGGATAGTCTTCCGGTTGACCACGTCCTTGTAGATATCCATCGGCCGCAGTCCGAGACGAAGGTGCGGCGCGGTCAACTTGTGAGGCGTCTTATACTCGGAAATGTAAACCATTGTGCGTCTCGCCGAGCCCGCATTGTTGGATCGGTAGACGCAGATCTGATCGGGTCGTAGCTGGTTGAGATCGAGGCCGTGGTCTGGCGTGGACGGTGGTGTTGATGGGGTGTCGCGGTCGACGACCTCCTCAGCAAGGTCGCTGATGGCATGCGGATGGTTCTCGAAAACGATGCCGTTTCCCAGATGAAATGCGCTTCTGACCTCTTCCACCTCTTTGAGCTGGTCTATGATCGCCCTGACGGGATCCTCGACGCTGTTGTGCAGGAAGTACTCGAGCGTCTTCTCGTCTGCTATCCTGCGCTTCGAGATCCGGTTTCCTAAGCCGACGAGGAAGGCTCGGTTCTCGAAAAGGCGACTGTCGGTAGGGAAGGTGTCGTAGAGCGTGCCGAATGTGATTCTCTGTTGCTGAATAAAGTCAGGCCATGGTCGGAGATTTGTGGGACACCATTTGTTTCGCGGATTGGTGATGGGGCCCTTCGATGTCAATTTCGGGTTCCGTTCAATGTCAAAGCTGGAGAATACACAAGAATGGCAGGCAGCAATGTATTCGTCGAGTGTGGTGGGCTGGGTTTGTTGCTCTGACGCTTCAGCGCGTTGCTGTTCCCTCTCGGCGCGTTGCTGTTCCCTCTCGGCGCGTTGTCGCTCCTCCTGTCGTTCTCTCTCTGCTTCCTCGGCGCGTTGCTGTTCCCTCTCGGCGCGTTGTCGCTCCTCCTGTCGTTCTCTCTCTGCTTCCTCGGCGCGTTGCTGTTCCCTCTCGGCGCGTTCTCGCTCTTCCTGCCGTTCTCTCTCTGCTTCCTCGGCGCGTTGCTCCGCCTCTCGCAGCCGCCTTGTCAGTTCTTCTATACCCATTGATCCATCCATGATGCGTAGGCTTCAAGTCGTGGTACGCATCCATTCAGATGGACACCTTCATCACATCAACATGTTTTAAAGTGCGGCCTAGTTAGTGTGGAGTCGCATTACGTACGCACGTTGCGAGGGGTTACCTGCCTGAAACCCCCCAACTAGCTAATCGACAGATGCACGGACCCACGCGCTCGGCGTAACACTACCCACATCACCGACATTTCTGCACTGCACAATTGATACATAGTACCTCGAGAGTTGAAGCTGAGGATGCAATGCCGTGCTGTTACTGTGGACCCGTGGAATGGGGATCGCATCAGAATCGTAGGTGCCAAAGTTCCTAGCAGGTTATTGGATAGATAAAATGACTTCGTAGACTTCGTCTGTCCGTATTGGCTCTACCCCGCAGTAGGTGTTTTTGACGTTTTTCCGCACTCGATGGGATACTCCTCCGCGTAACTATGTCTAGATCGTACCTACATGGTTCCATTATTGCCTTTATTCATAGGATTACCGGCGTAATATCAGACCCGTGCAACATTTTCATTTTTCACGCTACACAGGAATAGGTTTGTGACGGGAGAAGATCATTGAAGGCTCTCGCCCAGGTCCTGTGGTCGCATACACAAAGAAACATTTGTGACAGAAAGGCTCTAAAGTGCGCTTTACCTACGTACGTAGTGAATGAGTGCCCCTGTTCACATCCTTGAAGGCATTTAGAATAGCCAATTTGGCGGTTTAGCGGTGACATTGGTGCGACATAATGACTGTTAGATGCCAAAGCGTCCGTCGTCATTTCCCAGTCATCATCGCAGGCACCTACAGATAACTACACCATGGACTTGTTCCATCGGCAAATATACCGGCAAATCTGGGTTCATCGCTGGCGGGGGCTTAGTTAATTAGTGCATGCTTGCATCCTAAGGAAGTGCATTGGGGTTCGCCAACGCCCGGAACCACCGATCGACTGGGACATGAGCTCCCGTTAACTCTCGCTACTAGATCACACGTTTCTTTTTCGTAGTAGCACCACACTGTCGTCAGTGCAGTCTGCAATTGGGCTGATAATCTTGCATACTGCGCTATGTCATACTTCGTCTCCAACACAGGGCTGACCAGCTCGTGTGGTACGTGTGGGCGCATGCCGATAGTGTCAATTGCTCCAATCACCGAGCGGCTTCTAAGGTGGTGAAAATACGGCGCCTAAGAAAGTCATTGGGCGACAAGCCTCGCGTTCTGTTGGTTCTTGAGCGCCGTCTCATGATCAGTACGTATGAATCTTCACCCCCGCTGATTGATCGATTGATTCCCACCCGGATGCGGCCGCTATTAAGCCCGCAGCCATGCCCAACAACTAGGAGATCCGGCCATGCCAGCTTGATCTCCTTGGCAACCCATCGAGGTTCCAGCCACACAACCGACGAACGACTGAATACCGTACAACTCAAAGGAAGGGTCAACCTCCTTCCCCTAGTCCCTGTTCTTTGTGTTGGATTTAACTATATTCTTTGACATTGTCCCTAATCGTTTCGGAGCACTTTCTCCCATTGGCAGAGGGTAGTAAGTTTGTCATTCGTCACAACTCGGATAATTGTGGAACGTCGAAGGGGGCTTCCCGAATTGCTGGCCAGTCGACGGCCAATGAATGCCCTCAGAGCTCTATTACGGCCGGTACCGTGGGGAATCCCTTGCGTACAGGGTCCACACAGACCCTCTGGGAACCCTCTCTACAGTGCTTATTGCATCAATAATTACCTCCCTAGCCTACGCGACCTGTGCCCCTTCGTCCTATTCCCGACAATATTCTCCCTACCTTCACGCCTCACCACTTCACCAAATCACCAACCTTTCGCAACGGCGACGACGGTTACTCACATTTATGATAGCTATCGTCAACCATTTTCTGAAGCTGTCGGAGTCCACCCTGTTCACAAACGCCGCGCCTTGTCTGTCCGAGGACCGAGCAGCCACAGCACTGCTGCCGTAACCAGACATTAGCGAAAGAGCCTCCGGTCATGTCGATGTTCGTTTCAGGACAATACAGGTACGCTTACGTTCCGTCAAAGAACGGCACTGGGTGCCAGCTGCCTCCAGAACATGTTTACACTGACGGCTCCGAAGTACCGGTGGTGGCGACTGGCTTCATGGCGCCCACTCGCAAGAAGCAAGTACGCGTATCTCAAGTACGTAACCAACCATGCGACGGTATTTTCCGACTTGACTTGTACTGATTCGCGTCTCAGGCTTGTGACAGTTGTCGGCAACTCAAAGCAAAATGCGACGAGTTGAAGCCCTGTAAGAACTGTATGGAAAGATGTGTTGATTGTAAATACCAAGAAAGGGCACCAAAGCCGTAAGTAGGTCTGCACCGGTCCGTATCGTCCGTCATACTAATTCTGGCTCCAGAGCTATGCCAGAGGTTAAGAAGGCACTTGAAGACTTGAGGGCATCCATGAAAAGGTGCTTTCAGGACGTAGAAACAGCATGGGAGACATGGAATGAGGAAACTCCGCAACCGTTGTCGCCCTCACCGTCGGCATCGCCGTCATGCTCTCCGGCCGACCACGCTCGTTCGTTTTCTGAGGTAGGCTTTGACCGAGGCTCAGCTGCAACCGGAGGTTGCTCAGCGCCCAGCGGTACCGTGCAGTCCAAGGACACGGAACAACCGCCGGGACCAGCCCTGGTGCCTGGAAAACCGTCGATCCCTTCAAATCACACCACTCCAGCAGGCCTCTTGTTGGAATGGCCAGCGGTCAAAGCACTGACGCAGGTCTCGCTGACCCGACTCGGAATTAAGTACCCCAAGGACTTCCCCATATCCCAGGAACAGAATCGAGGATTGCTCCAGCTGTTCGGTTGCGGTGAAGGCAAAGCTTCCTTTTACGTACACCCGGACGTAGCCAACAGTGATGGCCCGTTGAGATGTTCGCCAGGAGAGGCCTATGGCAATTCCCCTCAAAACGAACCACGGACGAACAGGAACGCCAGAAGCTTTCCGGACTTCAGCGAGTCAAGTGTGCAGGCGTACGTCAAAAGCTTCAAAGAGCATATTTTGAGCATGCACCCGATTCTGACACTAGGTAATTTGGATCTAATGGTCAAACGCTTCCTGGAACACGTGTCTGTGGAAGACGTACGACACAAACCTGAGGTTGCTGGATTCGTGTCTGTGCCGGTCGCTCCCGTTGTGCGACGCAAACGACAGCGATCTATCTCTGTTGAACGTCCGAAAGAACCTGTTCAGCAGCGACGCGGACCGCCTCGGACAATCGAACACGCACTCGTCATGGTCGTCCTTGCACTGGGCAAGATATCCCAGCACAGAGGCAAAATCCCAGACTTACTTCGAAATATACAGGACAACTGCGACTTGCATACGACTCTCGCATCCGCGAATGATCTCCCTGGGTCGAGGAAAGCATCGATCTCGTCAGATGGTACTGACTTCCAGTCTACCACACCTTTGACGGAGAAGCAAATCAGCAACACCATCACACCAAGCCCACCGCCCCACATGAAAGATGCTGATCGAAGGAGTGCAGCGAAGTCTGTGCGACCTAATTATCATGATGTGCCGGGCCTCGAGTACTAGGGGAAGTATTGTTACCGTTGGTGGTAAGCGCTTCATTAAGTGCTGGTGTGAAAGGTTCGCCCAGGTTGCTGAGGATAGCGAAGTTGGGGGCCAGCTTCTCTGCGTTCTGTGCTGGGAGCCTATAGCTAGAAGACGAAAGATGAGGGATCAGGAGCGAGCGAAGGCAGCAAGATCTCAAGCTAAAAAAGAGTACTACGCGCTTATGCGGGACTTGGGCCGGGCGGAGTCTGAGATCGAGGACTATCTGCCGGATGATCTGAGGTCAGATGAGGATGACTATGCTTGGAGTGTAGGTTCTGTTTAAATGATATTATCTTGGCCTAGTACTAGAGATGTAGTCCGCCAATAGTTCTGTATCTCTACATACTATTACTCCTGGAACCCTCTTGGAAAGTGTTCCATATTTCGGAAAGCTCTAGGGTTTGAGAGACATCTTTGTGCTCTTAGTAACGGTAAATCAACTTCCCTCTCGCCTAATTTTTCTTGGCATCCGCTGTTAGTGAATCAGGTGATGAACCACTAGAATCCTTAACAGCCTAAAACTCTTCACCTCTCTGCTCCGGAGCCCTTCCGCGATGGCCTCACAGCCTCCGGCGGGCATCGGACCGCTGCCGGCCACACCGGCCGGCCCCGATCGGGGCCCTGGGTCACCTCCAGAGCCAACCTCTCCATCAAGGGCTAAACGCCGCCGCAATACCGAGACTCAGCCACTCCGGCCCAGTCTCGCGGGAAGCCAGCCTAACACCTTCAATCCCTCTCCCCCAACGGCAAAGGGGCCTCCGACCTTAACTCCAGCCACTGGTAGGACCGCCACTGGGTCTGTCTTGTCCGCCCTGGACGAGGAGGCCAGGCACTATGAGGCCCGCAAGGACGTCTTCTTAACCATCGCGCAATCTGTTGATAATGTCGTCTCCAGCTTTGAGGGCCCCAGGAAGCAGATCGCGAAAGAGGCTACGGCCTAACTCAACCCCCCTACTTGCGAGACACCCCCACATCCGAAACACTATCACCACCACTATCACCACCACTATCACCACCACTATCACCACCACTATCACCACTTATTTCACCACCACCACCACCCACCCATATGCAACTTCCGGCCTCACTGGGTAATTCGGATGCACTGGATTCATCCAGACTATCCATATTGCCGATATCCGGACTTTGCGCCCGCCGGATATCCCATATAGTGGCAAAGGTGCTGTTAGGCGATAGGGGGACCTTTTTCCTCTTGCGTTGCCGTAGGTCCTCTAACTTGCCCTCTAGCTGGCGGACCTGGTGCTCTAGAAGTGCCACTCTAGATGCCTGGTCATCATACCCCTTTTGCACCTTTCTAGATAGGTGACGAATAGTATAGGTATCTAACCTATCCTTGCCTATCTGGGTTAACTGGCGTAGTTGATGCCGTAGCTCGGTAGACCGACGAGGGGTTGACCATGGGACGATAGATAGGACTTCATCCCACTGTTGGCTGCTAGGCTGGTTAGTCTGCTGGCTGGTCTGGCTGGCCTGCTGGTCCTTAGTTACCATAGGGTTAGATAGAGGCCGCTGTATGCATATTGGCCATAGTCCAGCTGACCTCCAGCCACTTCTAACGTTCTGGGCTGTTATGGCTGCATCTCTGGCCCTTATATAACAGGCCAGAAATGCCCTCTTGCCAGCAACAGTTGAATCATTAACCCAGTCATCTAGATATCCAACCTCCCTACGATAGGCATGCTTCAATGGGCTGAAGACTGATATATCCAGTGGCTGGAGGACAGCAGAGGAGTGTGGCGGTAGATATAGTAGATATATCTTGTTCTGGAAGCATTCCCACATGAAGTCTGTAGATATATGGCTGTAATGCCCATCCAAAATCAGCAGTCTGGCTGCCTCTGGTTCACTAGGCATAGTGCCTGGGATAAACACCTTCTTCAACCATTCAAGGGCAGTTTTTTCAGTCGTCCAGCCATTATCCGTATATTTGAAGTGCCATCCTTTATATCCAGATAGGTTGAATGGGAACCACTGGGCCTGGACTGACTTGCCCTTATATATAACCAGTGGGCATAGGGACCTCCCATCGGCAGCCACACACTCGATAATAGATACCCATGCCCGGGATCCTGGCTGCTTTTTCTGGATATGCTGAGATGCTGCAGAGCCCAGCACTAGCCCATTAGATCCCCTGCCTTCCATAATGCCAGTTTCATCCATATTCCATCGGTTGGATGGATGGATTCCCTGGATGGCAGGGATATTAGTCAGACGATGGAAAAAACCCTGGATAACCTCGGAAGAATGGGCCTTCCATCGCCGGGCATCGATTGCTCTGGATCGCTGGGTCCTAATTGATGGGTTTCGCCGCAGGAATCGGCATACCCATTTCTTGCCCAGAGGTTGATGGGCATCATGGGTATCGCCCAGCATACGCTCTGCCAGGCCCTTTAGTTGTTGATGGGTAGGGCCAGCGCCTAGGGCATCCTGGATTTGAACCCATCCAGCCAGATAATCCTCCTGGGCTTGGGATAATCGCTGCATATGGGTATAGGCAGTATTTTTGCTTTGCCGCCCATGGAATCGGTGATGAAGTGATGCAACTGGTATACCCCATGCGCGAGCTGTTTCCCGGATACCCTTCCCAGCTGCTACCTCTAGAAGGGCCCGTTGGAGCTCATCTTCGGAGTATTGCTTCATGATGGGTTGAAGAAGGTATTTTGAAAAAAACGGCGTTGTTTGGTTATATATGGTAATTGTTATGATAGTTTAAAAAAGGTGGTGATGGTGGTGAAGGAGGAGAAATGGGGTGTTTCGGATGCGGGGGTGTTTCGGATGTGGGGGGGGGAGAGTTAAACACCACGATATAATAAGAAGTCCCGGAGGAGCCTAACAACGATGGGTTGTACTTCTTTGAGGTGCCCCTCGGACCATCCCTCAAAGTCTCTCTGGGCAGCACTCCAGAGGTCCCTGCCTAATAGATCTTCTTGTTGGTATATGGCAAGGTGCCAGAGGATGAAGGTAGAGAGGTCTTTCTGTGAAATCTCGCTACTGCTAGCGATATCGATATTGGCAGCATTATCCCATAGGGCTGGATTGACGTGGGGGAGGAATTTCTGAGGTATTGGTATCCCTTGGGTTGTAGTTGTTGTGTTGGTTGCGCTTGCCATGCTTGTATCCGGGTTGCCTTCGGGCTCTTGACTCCCGTTGTTGTTCATCGTAGTCATTGCAACAGTGTTCCAGTCTAGCTACACCTCGATCACAGGCGTTTCTCCCAGGCTGAGGTTTGTTGTTGTTTGATAGACGGGTTCTTGACTCGCGGAAGGCAGGTGTTGTGAAAAATAGTGTTCAACTCGACAGAAAACTTATTTGGCTTGACTCAAAGCTGTCAATAACCTTGACTCGCAAGAAAGTATCACAAAAGAGGGGTAGTTCGATGAGAAGGATGAAAACCAATTTGTAGGAGAGAAGGTGATGAATACGAGGTTTCTCGACGTTGCGAAGAGAGTTTTATTGATGGCAAAAGTGGGATAATCGCGGTTGTTGTTTTGTAGGGAAAAGAGTATAAAAGGGAGGGTGTTGTGCGAAGAAGTGGTCGAAAAGTAAAGAGAAAAATTGAGGGAAAGGCGAGGTTGTTGTTGGGTTAACCGGGCGGAAGTGTGCGGTTATCGAGGGTTACGTGATGGACGCTCTTTTGGCTAGGTAACTCACCAGCTATTAGATAGCTGCGTTTACTTCTTCCGAAGATTTGAGGGTATCGCGAGGTCCTTTAGGCAACCTGGCCGAAACAGGTTAAATAGGTTCGCGATAGACTCATTAGCACGATTTAGACGATATGCGCTGTCCTTACGGGGAAGGCCTAATAGTACCGTCTTCGTCGTCTCTTCTGATATCCCTTGCTGATCTGCAGTGGTTAAACCAACCACTGATCAGTGTTGGTAACTATACCAGGTATCCGTATATACGGTGGGGTGAAGCAACGAAGACTCGTTATATTGGTCTACTTATGATATTGCTTAGTAAGTGGAATACAAAGGGAGGTCATTGTCACGGCCGTTAGAGGCCGATATGTAGCCTTCCGGGCACACGAGTCATCCGGCCGGCGGCCGGACAGCTAATGTTCCGACAGGTTGAAAGCGGCACTTAAGCTGCAACGACTTAGGGGCCTATCACCGGCGACGGCGCGGCAACTCTTCACAGCCACGGTTGCGCCAGTGGTGGACTACGTTTCCAACGTATGGATGCATGCGTACAAGGACAAGCTTATAGGACCCATCAACAGAGTACAAAGGATAGCGGAAAGGCGATTGTCGGCACGTTCCTTACAGTGGCAACGAGCGTGGCGGAGGCGGAGGCGCACATACGTACTGCGAAGGAGCGCTTTTGGAGGAAGCGATCAAGATGTGGTCGGACATTCACACACTGCCAGATACCAATCCTGTCCGCAGAATTACAGCCCGCATACGACGGTTCAAGAAATACTACTCACCGCTCCTTCAAGTAGCAGAGGCACTGAAGGAGATAGCGATGGAACAGCTCGAAACCATCGACCCGCTTACTCTGTCACCCTGGGAAGAGAGAGTCAAGGTCGTAGTGGAAGGGGCGGAAACGAGAGAGACCACCCGCTCATTCGGCGCCCTCGAGGCCAGCTCGTCGGGTAGTTACTGCACCCCACACTGAAAACACAGTACAGGGCCCATGCCGGCCGTTTTCGCGCTTCACCTCAAAAGTCTGGGACAGAGCCAAGGACGGTTGGGATGAAGTCCCAAATGTTTGGAATGTTCTCATTGTGATCATCACCAGTCAGGTCCTCTGGAGCGATGCATTCCACTGACCATCCCCGCAGTCTGTTTAATGGGATGACGAGAATATCAATGCAGTTGAGGGTTAAAAATCTTTCCAAACCCGAAGAGAGAGACGAATGAAGCGGCCAAGCCTCAGTGGCAACAGCAATGACCCATACAACTCACTTGACACGTTGGCAAGTTTCCTATAGGGAGAAATCACCCTATCGACAACAAGCAACAAGGAACAACAGCGGCCTATAAGCAATGGAATTACTAATCTCGACAAATGTTCTGCGACGAGCGGTAGCTCAGTACCTCACGGACGCAAGGGAACTGAAAGTTGATACAGACAAATCTGAAAGGTGCTCTGGTTCCCCGGCATTTCCGAGCGCACGCTGTGGAAAAGAAATGGTGTTTGGATCTTTCCATGTAGATACCAAGATGACTTGACAATCTTGTTCAGATTCCGAAACATGTAGAGAGAGAGCCCTGATGCAGATATATGACTTCAAGTGAAAGGGACGTGTGAAACAGCGTCCGTGGGGCACCGTCGGATACACCACTCTTCTAGGCATCTGTCGATACATCGCCAGTTGGTTTCTGCGGGCTGTCCAGGCATAACAGCCGCGCGACGCCGGCGAGAACATGACTCTTGGGATTGTATGAGAACTGACAGAGGAGTTTGATGATTGGAGTCATGTCTCAGTTGATGGGAAGAGATGGGCACAAACGGACAAGACACCAAAGCTCTATGTCGAGACCTGAAATTTATAAATGCGCAGCATGTTTTCGTAAAAAAAAGGGAAGAGATACATCAAACCACTCAACTCTTCAATTTGACATTGATAAAAGCTCACAAAACTCACGACAGCAGCAATTCACCATGAGTCACAAATAAACCTGCGGAATGAGATGCACGTTGTGCTTGAATTGGTACAAATAAGGAGGTTTTCGAAAACATAATAAAAACCTGCCCAGCCGCTTCAAACTATTTTAGAAGGCCGCCATGATACATTCCTGCATCGTGCTGGCTGTGATGGTGCTCGGGGTTGCCGCTTTTAGGGTTGAGAGGCGCTTTAAGTTTCCGTCGCAGATCTCGTATATGTACGAGTGGTGCCAGGACGATGAATATCTTCTCGTCTCTTTTCTCATCGACTTCTGCGTACAAAATATCTGAGGAGACCAGTGACACC